GCTGTGCGACAATTTTAGGGTGATGGAATCTAACGCGGAAGCGACCAACACAGATCGATAGTACTTGACTAGGATAACAAAAAAAAAAAACAAAAAGGTTGTTACTAGGACAAGTGCTGTTTTATGCACGAACCTAGGAGTTTCCCTTTTTTATTTTTCGGTGCTTACTACGTTCGGCATTAAAAACAATTTTTTAAATAGTTTTACATACAGGAATAATCAAAATACCTACTTAGCAAAAGTTGAATGACCTTTCGTGTTTTAATTTACTGACATTAGGGTGATAAGAACTGAGATCTAGGGGCAAGTTCTAGAACGGGGTACTTGAGATCAATGAACTTTGGTACAAACTAATTTTCTCCTCGATACAAGAACATCGATATATAATACTTTAAGATCCCACTGTAAATGCTAAGGAAATAACGGAAAATGTAAAAAAAGCGACCCATACGTTTGGCCAAAATTTGAATTTACATGAATAAATTTAAAAAATTCAAAAAAGTGTCAAATGTTTGTGATTAAAAGAAAAAGTTTCAAGCTCTGGTAGTAACCCCTAAGAATTTGTTTTAAAATTTTGAAATATTCGTGGACGCCTTTATTTTGTATGTAGAACAAAATTTAGATGTTATTTTTAAGGACCATCCTAATGTACACATATGTATGTGCTATGTACGTGCATCTGTTCATAAACACACATTCGCAATCTACTATTTTGCTTTAGCACCATAAGCTGCAACTTTACATGCTGGCATTTAACTTTTAGAGAGGATTGGCTAGAAGTAGTACGCAACATAAGATTCTCCATTGCAAAGCAATTGTAAGTGTTTCTGCATATCTTGAAGGTGCTCTTCAGTTAATCAACCGTTAAGCTAGACTGTTTGGTGGTATCTCCACACATCGAATAATCTTGGTTAAGCATGCTAGTGTCAAAAGTTTATGAGTGTTTATATGTACTTACTCATAAAATGATGAAATGCTTCGATTATTAGTATACATATGTATGTACATAAAACTCTACAGAAGATTTTTATGCGTTCACTATAGTTTTTTTATACATTTTTTGTCACACTCGAGACAGATGAAGTAAACCGACCGATAGGGTATATGACACAATATGTACACTTGTTTTCTAAACATATCGCACATACTTTTGATGAGCAGTCACGTTGATACTATACATATGTACTTATGAACAAACTCCTACATTTGTGGCAATAAGAATACGCCGTAGTTGGATAGTAAATACGGGTTTCCCAAACATGTTCACTCCGGCGTAGGAATGCGACATTAATCGGTCAATTAATGTGATGATTAATCATATTCCTGATTAATCAAATATTTTTACTAATCAGTTTATATGCAAATTCAGTTTAATTAAAAAATAATAATTGAAATCTGAGTAACTTTGTTCATTTCCTTCAAGTTTGCTTTCAAAGCAACTGAAAATTTTCTTTATATCATAATATGTATGTACAATATTTTTTTTTTAATAAAACAAAATCAGATCTAATCAGGTTATGATTAATTAGTTCTGACATTAATAGAATTAATTAGAACCTGATTAATCGAACCTGATAAACGCAATCAATCGGGAAACTAATCACTTTGGTTAATCAAAAATGATTACTCTTTGGTTAATTAGGCTTCGATTAATTAGCTTGTTCGATTAATTAATTACACGCACATCCATACTCCTGCGCCTTTTTATGTACATACATACATACACTGCCGGCAAAAAGTATTGGCACAGCTGCTTTTTTAATATATATGCAACAATTTTTATCGTAATATTTTTACGCCATTTTTTTTTATAAAAATATGGTTCATTCTACAAAAAGAAACATAAAAATATAATTTCCAAACTTTGTACAAAACTCGCGAAAATTCTGCAAATTTTCATGCAAATTTTCAACTTTTTAATCAGATTTTTTAGAATTTTTTTAAGTATGCAGATTTGTAGCCCAATCAATTTTATTGTAATAAAATTGTAAAAGTTCTAAGTAGCTACGAATTACCGTTGATTTTTGGCAATTTTTTTCACGCAGTCTCTTCCATACAAAAAATTTTTTCGAAAATACTTTATATTAAAAAATGCAAAACCCCTTCAACAAAAAAAATTCTCAAATATCAATGCGGTTTTTGACTAACTCCGAACTTGCATTTTTTATACTAGAATTTAATGGGCTACAAAACCGCATACTCAAGAAAACTCGAAAAAATCTGATTAACAAGTTGAAAGTTTGCATGAAAATTTATTGAATTTTCGCGAGTTTAAAAAAAAAAATCATAAATTATAGTTTTATGTTTTTTGTTGTAGAATGAACCATACTTTTATAAAATATTAGCGGAAAAATATTAGAATAGAAACTGGTGCATATATTGTGCAAAACTCACTGTTCCAATACTTTTTTCCGGCAGTATACATATGTATATTCCAAATATAAAATTTTTTGAGGAGTTATTTCCTTTCGTGTATATGATATACATTTCAAATATGAACCAAATCGGACTATAAATACGGGGTTTCCAAGTATCTCGACTCCTGCGCCACCTAGCGGACTAATTCATCTTTCATATTACAATTTCAATTCTCGAGCCCATCGGGAAGTTTGTTAAAAATTCATTGTCACATTTGACCGAAACAAAGATGCTTACATACATTCATCGACAGGGGGAGTCTTCATTGTCCCCAAGGTTCTAGACACCAGTCACCAGTTCGTCGTTGTTCTTAATATAGGAATTCAGCTTGGTCTCAGAACATTCCGGCACACCTGAACGCAGCGTGGCTCCATAGGCAGCATAAGGCTCACCTAAGTTCGACAATTTACTCGGCGGAAGTACACGGTTCAATTGCTCACGAGTGTACATCTGTTGAGATGTGCTCTCTGAGGGAAGGGGCGAAAGTCGAGCTGGTTTTCTGTTGTGATGGCAGGTCTCCTTGAGTAGTGATCCGAGTCACTGCTACTCCACAGCCACTTAGCTTGTTGAATCTCTTTCATACCTCCTTTTCCGGACTCTACGAAGTCAATCAGACTCAGTTAGACGTTCCGTCGTGGAGGCTAAATTTTTTGCCCCCCTGACCAAAAATTATTTCCGTGAGCACCCTGGAATTGACTGGAGCTAACGACAGTACTTAACGACAAAGTCTTTTTTACTTCTAAATCTTAGTATTTAGTATAGTCGAACAACTGTAACTGGATACCCAAAGGCCCCACTATAAACTGAATATAGTATGTATGCAGGTGGATTTCACTGTACATATCGCACATCTTCTTCAAAAATGGCACAACTCAAAAATCCTACCCGAAAATATAAGTGCTTGTGGATGATACAGATACAACACAATGAATACAAAACCTGGTACAATAACTAGCAGTTTTCTGGTTTTAATTCATTTTAGATAAATCCTACTAATTGATTTATGCAAAAACATTACTCAATTTTTTTTTTTTTAGTTGTGCGCCTTTTGAAGAAGCTGTGCGATATATGTATTATATTTAAGGTAGATTAACGATAAGTGCTAGAAAAAATCTCTGCATTTTGGTTTAAGCAAACTTTTCGTTTTATTCACCATTTCGGATTTGATATCAACACAGCTACCAACAGCTCGCATGCATGTACATACATCTACTCATACATTTTTATGTGCATAGATTGCATGCCTATTTTGCCATTCGTTCAATTGGCGCTTCGCAGTTATGCTCTGATTTGTAAAGTTTTAACTTTCTTTTACAAATACATATTTTTTCGCGCATAATTAATCACAAGACATACTACCTTCTTGCTTCAAGTGCCAGAGTTTACAAACTCAGGCACACATGCATACATACATACATATATGTATGTACATTTGTTTGTGTCCTTAATTTACAAATTTTGCTTTTAAACACGAAACAAAAAATTTAGGCGTTGCTTCGGCAGATGTATGCAGATAGATAGCTGTACAATATGATAACTTCAGGGCCAGTTATTTCTTGTTATAGTTAATTTTAATAAGCTTATTTTTATGTGATAAAAGGTGCTTTGATATGAAACATTTTTCCTTTTAGTAGGGATAAAGTTTACTCTGGTAATACTGGCAGCAATTAACCAGTTAAGTTTCTTTTTGCATAACGTTAAAACGAATATTATATCGATAACTACTGGAGGGTATATCGACCGTTACATGACTAACGAAATCGAATATGGTATATATAATTATGTATGTATATCGAAAACCATTTCGGTAATCGTATCGATAAATACAACGATAAAAATATCGATATATTTTTTTTCACCATTTCAGTACAATCATCTAATATATTTGACAAACTTTTTTTTGTACTTAAATCTCTCTTCTTCTTAAATAAGAGCTTTTGTTTTTAAAATAACAGTTGCTTTGAGAAAAGTATACAATTCTTATTTACTGCATTTCTTTTACTGTCTTTTCGGGATGCAGTTGATCGTGTTTTTTCACAAAAGTGAAAAGTGTCACAAAAGCTGATATTAAATAGTGTAATATATAGGAACAAATTAACTATTTTTCGGTGGAATTGAGATCCGAAAAAAAACGTTAAATGTTATTCTCAGATTTGAAATATATTTCGCAAAAGCAAAAAGAAAAATTATTAATATCACATCCCTGTCTAAAAATCTAGGGTACTACTGTCCAATATAAAGGACGCTGAACAACAACGCTGAATATAAAATTTTTGATTGTATTTTTGGAATCGATGACCCAAAATTAGCCGGTAAACAAATTTTCAGATTTTCAGCGGCTGATTTTTTGTACTGAGAGGGTTAATTAAGTTCTTACAAAGTGT